CTTTGTGAAGTGCTGAGTTCTTGCAGGTGTAGATGTAGTCTGGCTGTTGTACTGTATCTACTGGTCTCTCTTTTAGGAATAGTTGTATTTGTTGTATTTTCAAAAATATATATGGTTTTGGGAAGAGATTTCTGCTGCCCTACTCATGCCGCCATGTTGGCTCCCCTCTTATTTCTTTTTAAGACTGAATAGTATTCCATTGTATGTACCTCATTCTTTTTTTCTATTGACCTGTCAGTGGACATTTGGATTGTTCCCACCTTTTGTGAATTGTGAATGATGCTGCTGTGAACATGGATGTGTGAATATCTGCTTGAGTTGCTCCTTTCAATTCTTTGGTTGAACTGCTGGATCAAATGGAAATTCTATGTTTAGTCTTCTTGAGGAATCAACTTACAGTTTTTCACAGCAGCTGCACCATTTCATATTCCCAGCAGCAAAGTAAGAGGGTTCCTGTTTCTGAGGGACTGGATTTTCACACATGTACTAGTGACAGTGCCTTCAAAATGGCATCTCCAAACAATGCTGAAATTTGTGCATCTGCAGTGAAGAATTTCTCTGGTAAGTTTTTAAAGGAGCAATATTTATGAAATTTGTTTTGGGTTTTAAGTCTTCACTTTGAAGAGTCCAGTGTTTGCAACTTAGACATTCAAGTGTCAGTGGCAGCATTTCAGGTAATGACCACAGGCAGTCTGCAGTGTCAGTTCAATGACTAGAAATCCATAAGGCACAAGAGTGGTTGGGAAGATCAGGAAAACATGAAGAGGGTCTCAAAGCTGACCTGTGAGCTGTCAAGCGCATTAGACTGAGTAAATAACGTTAGTGAAAACAAGAAAGGGCAGTGATGAGGACAGGAAAGAGAATGCAAACCGGGGTGCCTTTTACATGAGCAAAGAAATGGAGGTCACATCTTGTATGAGACCATTTGAAAGTTGCTTGATTTGTAAATATTAGGGACATGAAATTTCAGGGAAAACAAAGCAAAGCCTGTCAGAAATGGTTTTAAATAAATAAACCCAAGCACAAAAACCTAACTCAAGCTGGGTTTGCAGGCAAGGAATAAACAGCTATGGAGGACTGAAATATTTGTGTAAAAAAGGCAGCTATGTGTGTAGAATTTCAAAATACTGTATTCTCTCTCATGTTTATGGTTCCCTTACATTTTGAACACTTGACATTTACTAGCAGAGAAAAGTTTCCTCTTGATTTAAGGTATGAACATGTAGAGAGAAGAGATTGCTGGTTCATTCAGTAGCTGAACAAATGTTTCTTAAATGCCTATTATGTGCAAGGTTCTAGACTGGGGAGTGGAGATCATGGAGATGAGTTAGGGATGGAGCCTGCCTCGAGCTTGTAGTCATGGTAGGCCAGGTGGGCAGATCAGTTAAATAGAGATCCTCAGGGGACTGAGGCAGATGAATCAATAGGGGACTGTGGGCCTGGAGGGAGTGCAACCAAAGGCTTTTGCTCTGATAGCTGGGAACCCCTAAAAGGCTTTCTGAAGATGAGGTCTCACCTGTCATATGGGACAAGTGGGAGTTTTTCTCCCAAAGCAGAAAGTAGGACTGGGTGGAGTAGAACCTCTCTCTAGGAGGAGGAACAAGCTTGAGCAAAAGTGAAGGAAGCTTGAGGGTAATTTCCCAGGGAGGTGATGGGGGACGGAAAGAGGAGGTACTGGAAGCCCCCAGCAGCTCATTTGCATTCCTAGGCCATGCATTCCAAGGTGGGAAATAGCTGGGTAAATAGTGGGAAAAAGGCTGGAGAGACAGATCAAGGCTCTACAACTTTTTTCTTCTTCCTTAGTGTCTAAATCCATCCCATGCTAATTCCCCATCTCTCTATGCAAGCATATCTTTAAAAATAATTTCACATATTTAGTTGAATGTTCATTGTAAGTTAGGCTATTCTTTGGAGGTGGGGAAGCTGACTGACCGACATTAACAGTAATTAGCCTCATGCTCCCACAAATTTTGGCTACTAAATTCATTCTGCCACTGAATTGGCCATTGTGCCTCGTTCTCCGGCTTCTATGCTGCCCCTGCCTTGTTCTCCGGCTTCTATGCTGCCCCTGCCTCAGGGACTAATAGCAGTGTTGTTTAGGGAATCCATCTTAGCTTCAGATCAGCTTGTTTAAGGGTAATCCTATCTCCTCAGTCAGGGTTTTAGTTCCTCAGTGGGTGTGTGGTTCACTCTGAGCCCATGAGAAAAGATGGAAATTTGGAGGGAGATTGGGGGAAAGAGAACTATGGTCAACCAAACTCTCTTTTGTTAGATGAGAAACAGAAGCTTGTAGCTTTAGATACCGTAAGTGGACCTTGGCTTAGGGTAAAGGTGACCTTAAAGATAATCAAAAATGGAGATGAAAAAAATCAGAATCCTTGATAACACCACTGAGCTGAGAAATCAGCTAATTCTGAACTTTCATCATTACTAGGTTTCCTGTTCTGAAAGCTAATCATTGTCCTTGCTGTTTAATCCCTTTTGGGTTTGTTCATCTGAAACTTGAAATCATCTCTATCCTACATTGACATATGACCTTTGTGGCCTTCAGCAGACACGTATATGACCTCTTGGGACTATAATCCTTTGATCTTCATTTCTCTGTCATTGAAATGAATGTGATTTTATGTTTTTCATGAAGATTATCTGAGATCCGGCACAAAGCCTGAAGGAGGAGGTGTGAACTAATACATATTGAGAGCCTACTATGTACACTGAACTAGGCTGGCCTGGTCCTTGGTTTTGGTAAGCTTAGAGACGAGAAGAGAAATTCAGGTAATTTCCTTATGAAGTGGTATAAATAAGACCATGTGTGTATGGACCTTTGCACAAATCAGTTTTTTAAGGTCATTCAGTATTTGTTGAATACTTACTATTTCAGGCACATAATCTAACATGAGGTTGGGAAGAGGAAGGGGAGTCATAGCCTAGGAAGTGGTATTTAAGCCAAAACCTGAAAGATTAGTAGGAGTTAGATGAAGAATGGGAAAAACATTTCGTGCAAAGAAACATTGTGTACAAAGTCCAGTAGGTGTAAAAGAACTTGGTGTGTTGAAGGAAGTAAAATTATGTGGTCAGAGTGGGGGGAAGGGGGAATAACATGGTGGGAAATGACGCTGGAAAGGTAAAGAGGGACAGATGATACAGGCCCTTGATTTAAGGCTTGTTGCCATATTAAAGATTTTTGAACGATCTAGGTGTGAAGTGAAGCCAGTAGAAAGTTTTAAGCAGATGAGTGTCACTATCTGACCTATGCATTTTTTCTAAATGGGATTTTGGGGATCAAATGAGGAGGAGGAGTTGAACTAGTCCACAGTTTGGGTGGGAGATGGGGGGAGCTTGGACCTGGGTTGTGGTAAGTGGAGATGGGGCCAAGTGGATGGATTTGTGCAGCATTTTGGGAGCAAAGCTTCCTGGGTCTGGTGATAGATGGAAGGGGGGATGTCATGAACCATGAAGAGAGTGGATGACTTCTTGATTTCAATATAAATGAAGACTAGAAAGGGCCATGTTTCTTTCTTGTAGAAAAACCAAGGTTCAGTTTTACACATGTGAACTTTGAGAGATCTGTGATACAATGAAATTGGGATGTTGAATAAACAGTTTCTCTTATGTAGGTCTGTTTAGGCTGGAGTTAGTTTGCATGTCATGGGCAGGTTGTTTGTATCAAAAGAGATGAGAATTGGTTGTGCATGTTAAAGAGGGAGTAGAGAGTGGGAAAAATATACCTTACCTCTTCTGGGAAGCCTTTCCTCATCTCTCAGGGGTAAAATATTCTTTCCTGATCCAGTTAAAGAGAAGAGAAAACCTTGGCCTGGATGGGGTGCAAAGAAAAGGGAAGAATTATAGAATCACAGAAGTTGGGTAAGGGGAAAATTGAAGATGTTGAATAAAAGGAGATTATCAGTGAAGTGGAGTCCTGACGGAGACGGGAGGGGATTCTGGCCAAAGGGAAGGGGAGAAGGCCTTCAACTAAATTGGAAGGGGTTGGGTCACAGGGAGGTGAGATAATTTATTGCCAGAAACCTGAAAACATACACATTATGTGCTTGCACATACACACCCATGCCACGCATGCCCATGGCTTCACATACCCAGTGGTTCATGGAGACCTTCTAGGTGGAAAGTATGGTTCCCATAATATTCACTGCTGTTTCTTTGATGATACTGGGTGCATAGATGGGCTTAGTATTTGTTGAATGAATAAATATCCCAGAAAATGGGCTTTAGATTTCATTTTGGGGGATACCCATGTTAGAGGATGTGCAGAGATTAAGACAGGAAAAATTGGAAGCCTTGAGGCTTGATTCCCATGAACCCTCCACTTTGATCTTTCTTTCTCTTCCACGTAGCAGTAATAACTGTTTCAAAATCACTAGTTCATTTGTCCTGCCTCTTCTACTGAATTGTGAATTTCTTGGAAGGTACATACCACATGTTGGTAAACGGGAGGATAATATTTTAGCATTGTCCTTTAGCAAGGACAGTATTTTTTTGGTAACATCTGTCACATAATAAATCCATGTTTCCAGGATCTAACCCAGGGATGACACATAGAAAGTGCTCAATAAATTATTGAATGAATGCAAGCATCTGGATTTGAGTGGATGCTTTAAGAGTTCATTTAGTGTGAGGAGGGAATGGGCACCTTCCCAGATAAAGACACAAATATAAGCTGAATTGCAGGTGTGGAGGCAGCAACGAAGTTACCTAATTTGGTATTCTCTTCTGTATTGTGGGGAGTGGTAACTTGTTCAAGGTCAAACAATTTGAAATGATGGGTTCTGGATTTGCACTTAAGTCTTTCTGACTTCAAAGCTCAGGGTTTCCCACTATATCATGTTCCCTCCTTACCAAATTATTTCCCATGGTTGTGACACCACCTCTCAACTCACAGACACCTTGTTTGTTCCCACTTAGGCCAGATGAAATATTACCTGTCACGGACACCTTCTTTATATGATTTGTTTCCTCACTTATGTTTTTTTCCTCTATCCTAGCTCTCCACTGCGGCTTGAATCCACAAGGTATTGATCACTCTGCCCATGCTGAAGGTATTAAACTACAAATTGAAAGTGAAGGTGTTGAATCTCAATCCATTAAAAACAAAAATTTCCAGAAGGTGCTTGACCAAAAAGGAACCCCCAAGCGATTACCGGCAGAAGCTGAGACAGCTAAGGTAGGTAATGATCCACTGATTTAAGGAGACTCCAAAGTTGCAGCTTTGATATTTTGTGGTCTAGCCACAGAGAAGAACTGATGGTGCTTTCAATAATTACCATTGTATTGTCAGTTAAATGAACACTGCTCCTTGATTATAGGCAACAATTAATGGAAATATTGATAGTATCCCCTTTGGAGTGGAAGGGTGGTCAGTCTCATAGTATGAGGCTCTTAGTGTGGTATAGAATGGGCTATAGAGAAGAACTTGGACTTACAGCTGAAAGATTTGTTTGCCAGACTCATACTTATCATTTTATGATGTTAGGCAAGTCATGTGACTTTCTAAGCCTCATATTCTTCATCTGGAGAATGAGGATCATAAAAACTATCTCTCCCATTGTGTTGAACAGATGAAATAATGCTATGCATGTGGAAGTATTTTGTAAAAGGCCCAATATTGCATGAGTCTGAGGGGCTTTTGCTGGAAGACACCATTCAAATGTCAGCTAGTATTAACAATTATTAAATATATACATATATTCCAGTTACTGTTTAAAGGATTCTTGATGTACTGGCTTATAGTGTCCCTGTAACAATTCAATGAGGTAGACAATAGTAAACAGGACTCTTGTTCTATTCATTGTAGGTAGGTAGGTCTTTCTAGTTTTTAGCCTAGATGTAGGCTAAAGCATAATGCACATTGGTAAACTGGGAGTTCAAGGGTAGATGATTGTTTAATAAAGACAACTTCTTTTAAAAGTTTTCTACAATGGAATTGGCACTATATGGATTTTTGCCTGAAATCAGTTGAGATGCTCAGGTTGAGGACAGTGTTGAAGATGTTCATATTAGTTTGTGCCTTGAAAATCGAAAGAACTAGTCATCACACAGTATTCGGTTTCCCCTTGTGTATTCTCTGCCAAGGAATTTCCTTTGAAATGTTTGTGTGGTTGAAGGTACGCATGCCCAGAAAAGTAAATATTGCAATCACCCAAGAAAAACTTTAGGTAAAAGGTCACTTTGCTGTCATACAATAACCAACTCCCTCCCCACAAAAAAAAAAAATGTCTCCCAAATTAAATGTGAATTTTTCTGCTTGTTCTGTAGTTTTGAATTCTTACTGTTATTGTGTCCCTTCTCTAGTTTGGAAAATCAAAAACTGGTGGCATTAAGTGTGTGTGTTGTATGGAGTGCTGAATTATTTACCATGGGAGCTGCTGCAGATATGTTTTGCTAGACATTTCAGCTAAGAGAAATGGCACCTCATAGGAAACTGGTTGATGATTACTGGATTTGGTTCGTGAGCAGAGCTGGAAATAAGTGAGCCCTATCACAATGTCTAAGCCTGATCAATCTCTGATGCCACACAGCCATCTTGAAAGAGCAAAGAAGAAATGTCTTAAGGGTCTCCTTTAACTAGGAGGATAAATAGTCTGAATAGGAGCTTTTCAAAAGGATACTTGACATATTAAAAATCACAGTGGAGAGAAAACTATTGATATTTATCTGCTTTTTCAATTCAACTTTATACAATTCCAGATTATCTCCTTTAGTTGTAAAACAGACTGGTAATATAAAAAGCTTGGTTCAAATCTAGTACGATTTGATTACTTCCGAATTACGTGGAATTTGTGATATTGTAGTAAGTCTTGAATTTTCACATTAGCAGCACTTGCCATTGTCTCCAGATCACTTTGTATTTGCTTTACTGAAAACACTTCACTGAGAATGTAGTGGTCTATAATGAACCTCTCTTCGGGAATAGATCTTGTATTGGAAACCGGAATCATTCTGAGTTTATCCAGATCATCTACAATGAAACCCCCAAACAAAGGGGGTTGAAAGTGGATTGAGTGTTTTCACACTGACATATTTAGGAATGGACGGACTTTAATAAAGCTTGCACAAAGTATTTTTCATGGAGGCTTGATGACCATGATTGCTAGGGGGACAGAATTAAAAGTAGGTAGCGTAGTGTAATTACTGGAGACCAGAACATCACATACCCTGGGTTTCTGCACAACAGACAATGGGAACTTGTTTTGTGCATGTGCAGGCACAATCAGTGTTGTCTTCTGTTGCATTTAGATGGTTATGGGAGTTGTGGGTCTTCTTTTTTCTTGAGTAAATAATTGAACCTCTGGCAACATGATCTCCTCTAAACTTAGCTAAAACAAACAAACAAACAAACCAAAAACCCAACTCTGGCTACAAATGCATGTAGTTAAAAAGCCAGTCAGTAATGTAAATTGGTATAGCTTTTCCAGAGGACAGTCTAATCACAGTTATCAAAATTTTAAATGGATGTAATTTTTGAAAAAATAGTTCCCTCTGTAGGAACTTGGGCTAAGGAAATAATCAGCCAGATGTGCAAAGATGGCTGCAGGAGAATTGTCAGTCTAGCACTGTTTATAGTATGAAAAGGTGGGCACAGCCTAAATGTCCATTCACAGGACACTGGCTAAAAACAGTGTGTATTCACACAGTGGAGTAGAATTCTCTTTAAGGTTGAGGGGACCATGTGTATTTATCATAGTCTATTCAGACTGCTATGACAAAATACCATAGACTGGGAAATTTATATTTCACTGTTCTGGAGGCTGACAAGTTCAAGAGCAAAGTGCTGTCAGGTTAGGTGTCTGAGGACCTGCTTCCTTGTTCATAGGCAGGCATCATCTCACTGTGTCCTGCATGGAGAAACATGGCACACGGATGCTCTCTGGGCCCCTTTTTATAAGGACACTAATCCCATTCATGAGGCTCTGCCCTCTTGAACTGAGCACATAGTTCATGGCCCCACCACTTAACTTCATTATATTGGAGGTTCAGTTTCAAGATAAGAATTCTAGGGGAACACAGATGCTCAGTCTATAGCAGTATTTACATGGGACAATGAATGTGATAATATTTTTAAAGAGGGGAGAAGAAAGGCAGGTTTACAGCACAGTGTATACAACATGTTCCCTTTACATAAAAATGTATTTCTCCATATAAAGGCATCTTTGAGTCTGGAAGAGTTTACTACACAATTTGAACAGCAGTTTATACCTGGAGTTGAGATTATGGAGAAAACTTTCTTTCTCAACTTCTGTTTTGAGTGTTTTTAAAAAGATATGTGTTCTTTTAAATGTATTTATTTTAAAGCCCCTTTTCTGACTGCACTTAGCCTACATGATTTGTAGGTCAGTCATGACTTTTCCTGTTAGTCGAGTCAGTATTCTGCCTTTCAGGGTGCTGCATTTCCACCCATAGCATCTGATTCCTGCCAGTAAGTTATTTGCTGAGGGAGTGAGTACCCTTGGGGACTCTTTGCCTGCATGTACCTAGGTTGTGGAGGCTGTTTGGTAAGATGCTTCCTTGTTTGTCTCTTCCTGAACTTTTTGGATGTACTATCTCTGACTAAGTATTACATTATGTTGCAAATTGATGATCTATTCCTTTGCTACTGACTGATTATGCAAATCAAGTTCTCCCATGTGCATTTTCCTGTTTGCAGGCTTCACAGAGGGAACCTGGTTCCAGCTGCCTGTCATACCTGTGGGCTTTGCCATTTTAAGTCTGGCCATATTGGGTTTTGAAACCAATCCCTCAGCATGTCACCTGTTCCAGGCCCCAGCAGATATAGCTTCATATCTTCTCATTGCTATGGTTTTTAGACACCTAGAAACCTTTCTTCCTCTATTTCAAACTTGCCTTTATATCATTTTAAAAATATTTTTTGCATATCTTTATGTTTCTAGAGCCTGAGGGGGGACTGTAACATCAATTTACCTGAAATTTGTATTGCTTCCTTAATTTATATATCTTTATCTCTTTCTGTATATGTATCCATTCTGGGAAAAATCATCCTTTTTGCTTCTCTATTTTAGAATGTAATTTTGGACTCTTGGTCCTAATTCCTTAAAAGACTAGGACCCTAATTCCGGAAGGAGGTTGTCTGTGTTACAAGTTGCCTGTAGCTCTTACAGACCAAAGAAAAACCAGTAGAGAACCAACCTCACTTTTAAACCTTATCAGGCAGCATTCGGTCTAGTTGGGAAAAAAAAAAAAAGATCCAACTAAAATGTGGATCCTGAAAAAGATATTTGACAATGTAAGTCCTAAATGCTCAAAGCACTGGCAATCCAGAGAGAGTACCTGTGCCATACCACGGCTGCAGTGACAAAGTCAAGACACAAAAAACTATGTCAGCTTAGTTTTACAGATGTATGCAAGGAAAGAGATATATTTAACATTTCATCTCATTGGGAGGTACAGAAGCTATGAAGGTGTACACAGCTTGTTTGGGTCCCTCACCCACTTAAGGACACATCCAGGTGCCACAGATGAGGGCCCAGGTGAGATGAGTCTCCTCAGTACAGAGAAGGCTCAGCCTCTGTTGGCCACCAATTGTATATTTTACTGCTTTAGAATTAGAGGCCCAAGGCCAACCCATGGACTAGGTGTAGTTCTACATAGCAGTTTCCAAAGCAGGAGTCCTGGGAGGGACAGACGTCCTTCCTGGACAGGTCTAGACCTGAGGCTTAATAACCCTCTCCTTACAGAGCTACTGCTCACCAGGGATGGGGGTGCTCAAGTAGAAGTAGAACTTGACCTGTGCTTGGAAATATGGATGAAATTCAAATACAAACCAGCAGAAATGGAAGGTGACTTTAGCAATGAAGTCTGAGTACCTTGAGCCAAGGTGTGGCAGCAGATCCTCGTGGATCGTGTGGAGACCGGTTGTAGCAGTGTGTGGGAGCCAAGTTGTATGGGATGTGAATGCTAGAAGGAGCACAGATTTATTTTCTATGTATACTGTCCAATATAATAGCCACTAGCTTTATGTGGCTACTTAAATGGACCGAAATTGAATAAAATGAAAAAATCCACTTCCTTGTTCCTATCAGCCAAATTTCAAATGGTCAGTTGTCAGATGTGTTTAGGGGCTACTGTTTTGGGGGAGACATAGAAAATCACAAAGTTCTGTTAGACAGCACTGAAGTTCTCTGGGTGAAGGAGTAAGCTGAAAATGTG